TTCTTTTTCTTGCCTTATTGCCCTGGGTAGAATCCAGTGCACTGTTGAATAGGGAGACTGAAAGTGAACATCCCTGCCTTGTTCCCAGTTTCAGGGGGAAGCAATCAGTCCATCACCATTGAGTTTGCTGTTGGCAGTAAATTTCCTGTAGAGGATCTTTATCAGTTTGAGGACATTGACTTTTCTTCTTAGTTTGCCAAGATTTTTTAAAATCATGGATGAATATTTTGTCAAATGTTTTTCTGCATCTATTGAGATGATCATTATGGCTTTTCTCCTAGTTCTGCTAATATGTTAAATTGTATTGGTCGATTTCTGAATGTTAAATCAACCTTGCATTTTCCAACACCACTTGGTCATGATATACTAACATTTTAAAATATTTCTGGGTTCGACTTGCAAATACTTTGTTCAATAATTTTGCATCTATGTTTCTGAGAGCAATTGATCTGTAATTTTATTTTCCTGTAAGGCCTCTGTCAGGTTTATTATAGGGTCTCCTAAAATGAACTGGGAAGTGTTCTCCCGCTCTGATTCTTCTGGAACAGTTTCTGTGGAATTCTATTATCCCATACTTAACAGTTTGTTAGAATCCGCTAATGAAACCAACTGAGCCTAGAGTTCTCTTTGTGGAAAGGTTTTTGGCTACGAGGTCAATTTCTTTTATCGATATAGCTATTTAGATTTTCTGTTCTTCCTTGTGTCAGTTTCATAAAGTTTTTTTTCAAGAACTTTGTACATTTTGTCTAAGCTAGTTGTTCCTAATATGCTTTTGATGTCTGTCGTTCCTGACATTAGTAATTTGTTTTTTTTTTTTTCCTCCTTGTTCAGTCATGCTAGAATTTATCAATAACTTTACAGAACCAACTTTTGGCTTTGTAGATTCTGTTTTCCCCTTCATTGATTTTGGGTCTTATCTTTATTATTTCTCTCCTTTACTTATTTTAGATTAAATATGCTTTTATTTTTCTGTATTCTTATAAGTGCACACTTAGATAGGTGGTTTTAAACTTTCTTCTAATAGAAGCATTTAAAGCTATATTTTTCTCCTAAGCACTGTTCAGCTGCATCCCACAAATTTTGATATACTATATTGTGTTTTCACTATTGCTCAGTTCAAAATATTGTCTAATATCCCGTGTGATTTTTTTCTTTGGCCCATGGGTTATTTGAAAGTATGTTAATTTCTAAAATAATTTTAATTTGGGTATATCCAGATATATTATTACTATTGATTTATAATTCAATTTGTGTGTGGTCATAGAACATATCCTGTAAGACTTAAATTTTGTAAAACTTACTTTATGGTCCAGTATATGTTCCAGCCTGACGAACACTCCATACGCACCTGAAAAGAATGGATCTTCTGCTGTCACTGGGTGTTGTGTCAAGTTGGTTGATAGTGTTGTTATCCTTTCTAACTTTTGTTTACTTGTTTTATCAATCACTGAGAGAAGGATGTTAAAATCTCCAACTATGATTATGGATTTGTCTATTTTCTACCATGTTTGCTTCATTATCTTGAATCTCTATTATTAAGTTCATGTACATATGATTATTACATCTTCTTGATGAATGATGGAGTTGGGGTGTGTTGTCCCCTCCAAAACTCATGCGGAAATTTGATCTCCAATGTGCCAGTGTTGGAAACTGATTGAGTCATGGGGGCGGATCCCTCATGAATGGATCAATGCTCTCCCTGGGGGAGGGGGATTAATGAGTGAGTTCTTGCTCGATTAGTTCCTGCGAGAGCTCGTTGCTTAAAAAGACCCTGGCACCTTCTGTCTCTTGCTTCCTCTCCCCATGTGATCTGCTTGTACCCACCGCTGCCTGCCACTTTCCACCATGAGTAGAAGCAGCCTGAGGCCCGTGCCAGATGCAGCTGTCCCAGAATCATAAGCCAAATAGACCTCTTTCCTTTATAAATTACCTAGTCTCAGGTATTTCTGTTATAGCAACACAAAACTGACTAAAATAACTATGCTCCTATAGTCAATCAAATTCCAATCACAAACAGGACCAAATAGAAATATTTCTTGGCCTATCCATCCTTTCCTGCTGTTTTTATAAGCCTGCATAGTTTAAGGAAGCTTGAATTATATGAGAGCACTCCTTTCCAAAATGAGTAAGATTAGAAACTCTCTTTTGTGTTGATCATCGTTTAATTAGGGAGCAAAATTATCTGCTGGATGAATTAACCTTTCTTATCATTACGCATATCCTTGTTTGTTTCTTGTAATATACCTTGACGTATGTTTTGTCTGACATTAAATAGCCATACCAGCTTTTTTAGGCTGATTGTTTACACGATATACTTTTTTTTAATCCTTTTACTCTTATTTCATGTGTGTTTTTATATTTAAAGTCCATCTCTTGTCGACAGTATACATCAAGTCTCATTTTTTATACAGTTTGACAATCTCTTTCTTTCAAGTGGAGTGTTTAGTTCACTTACACTTAGTACAATTATCAGTATGGCTAGGTTTAAGTCGACTGTCTCCTACTTGTTTTCTATTCATCCCGTCTGTTTTTGTCCCTCTGTCAATCCTTTCCTGCCTTCTTTCTGGTAAATCTTTTTTAAAAAGCATTTAATCTTATAGTCATCCATGTGTAAATGTCAGTTTTGCTCACGATCAACTGACTGTGCCATCGCCCTACTTTATCTTACCTGAGCTCCCCCTCAATCTCTGCACACAGCCTCAGCCCCTGAGCCTCCAGCCGACAACTAAACCCAGCAGAGCCGCAGCAGGGCTCACAGCCCAGGGCCTGCAGCCACAGACTTAGCCCCTGCCCCTCAGGAGAAGATGCAGAGCTGGGGAGAGTCACCCTTCTCTACCATCAAAGTACGGCGGGTTCACCCCTCCCCACCCCAGGGTTCCCCCTGAATGGGGCTGGGGCTATAGCACATTTCAGGACTGTCAACCTCAGCCTCCCCCTTCCAACACCTTGTGAAAAGCTACAACATTAGTGGACAGAAAAGCTTCATGTCAGAATATGGCCAACTCTTGAGGTCCTCCTGGGGAAAACTACCCCGACTTGGAAATAAAGAGCATTTATGCCCTAGAACCTTCCACTTTGCTCTTAGTACTGGAGCTGGAGTGTGTGTCCTCACGTGTAAGATGGGGATAACACTCCCAGTATCATGGGTGTTCTGAGGATCATGCACAATAGTGCATTAAAGCACTTGGTGCAGCACCTGATCGCAGCAGGCACGTGTACCTGGGAGCTGTGTGTTTCCTGTGGCTGCCGTAACACATGACCATGCGCTGGGGGCTAAAGACAACAGAAGTTTATTCTCACAGTTCTGGAGGCTGGAAGTCTGAGATCAAGGTGCTGGCAGGGCCACACCCCTCTGAAAGCTCTTGGGGAGGGTCCCCTGTTGCCTCTTGCAGCTCCTCATGGCTCCAGAAGTTCCTTAGCTTGTGGCCGCAGCCCTGCAGTCTCTGCCTTGTCTTCACGGGGTCTTCTCCCCTGTGTCTGTCTCTGCATCTTCTACTTTCTTCCTTAGGGCATTTGTCATTGGATTTAGGTGCCCCCGTAAATTCAGGATGATCTCATCTGAAGATCCTTAATTACATCTACAAAGATCCTTTTTCCAAATAAGGACATATTCGCAGGTTCCAGGGGCTAGGACATGGACACATCATTTTGAGGGCCACCATTCAACCCACTGCAATAGCTACCACATTTTATTTGTTCTTCCTTACTATTTTCACAAGAGCCCAGCAAGCAGCCTGGGATGGAAGATCCTTCGAGCCATTCCTGGGTGCCTACCAATGGACTGGGTGTTCAAGGTGCCCCTCTCAGTCTCCACATCATTCCTGCAAGAAGGAACCGTCCCCGTTTTACATGGGGTTCAGGTCATGGGGCCAGATCCCCCACAAGGCCTGAACCCACCTGCATGATTCAGGGCCCCAAGCTGCCTCTCTGTTCCAAGGCACAGGAATCCAAAGCTTCCCCAGTCCTGTGCATGCCTAGGGTCACGCTGCAGCTCAGCAGAAGCAGCCTAGGCAGCAGCTCTGTGTGCACAAGCCTCTGACTCCCTCTGGGGATGGCATGGCCTTGCTGCAAGAAACACCAACAACCGCAGACAGCAAAGACACCAAGGCAACGCTGCCTGGTCCTCCAACCATGTCCTCCCCAACGACTTGCAGAAAGAGCTTTTTCACCTCCCCAAGGAATCCTCTGGAAGTGGACACAAGTCATGCACTTTTAATTCAGATGTTACAATCACAATTCCAAGGGCTGTCATTTGAGACTAGCCGACACATGCAGATCTTCCAAAAACAAATCATAAAAATGTTACAAGGGGATCATCTTTATTCTTTCTGACCAATAATGGGGAACTGGGGTAAGCTTTTGACTGGCGTGTAGAGCAGGGCCGCCCCCAAAAGCAAGCTTTCTTTTCAATTGTCTGAAATATGGCTGGAGAGCTGAAATTATATTAAAATACATCAGTTTCTGGTTCAAGATAAACACTTTTTGTACCAATTTAATTCAGGTTTCTAAAGCTGACACAGGGAAGGCAGCAGCACTGTCTGTTGAATGAATTCCAGCTCATGCTGGTCCTTTCCGTGACAAATCATTCATAACGAAACCTCTGCAAAGGACAAAGGAAAATCAAAGGCATCCAAGTGCCCTTTTCTTTTCAATAAGCCACACTGGCAAAGACTCTATTTACATAAATGCAAAACTGTGCACTTGCTCCAGCCCATTTACTGCCCCATCACTCCACAGTTCACCTCTTCTTTTTTCTCTTTTTTATAAATTACCATATCCTAAAAGCTTCTGGTTTTTCTAGACCAGTTGTTTCAAATGCAATCATTGTCAAATAAGATCGTGGAAATTCTTACCACAAATAAAATAATGAAAAATCTGCATTAAATAACTTGATTGGCATTTCAAATGAATTAAGAATAAATTCAGGATGGTCCCGCATTACTTTCAACACCTTTTCCACCAGTCACTGGTGGATAAAGAAAGGAAACTGGACATCAGCATTTATTAAGCAAAACAATTTATTATTCACAAGCTGAAAATACCTGGTTACAGGTGGATTGGTGATAAATAATTTGTAAAAGTATTTTCTGATAGAGTTTTATTATAAGTTTTCGTGTGTTTACAAAAGCAAAATTCAACCTCTTCAACCCTTTGCTGCCAGACCAGGCTTCCTTCTGGAAGTCAGGGGGACACACCCTGTCTGCCAGCACTGACTCTGCGGGGGATGAGGCCACCTTGTTCTCTGCACCACATTCCTAGAGTGCCGCAAGAAGCTGGTGGCTATAAAAAGCCAAACCTTGGGGGAAAATGTTGGTCAGCCATGCGGATCTTCCAAAACGTAGACCCAGCCAGAGACCTGGGCCCAAGTTCTCATCTAAAGGCACTGCAAGCACTTCCGTAGCTTGGACCTGTTCCAGGAGCCTGACAGACACCCTCCGAGACCCCTCAGCCTGAGCGAGCTCTGCATGGTGTCCAGATGAGTCCTGAGAACCCAGGACAGAGGGTCTGGTGTGGCTCCACAGCCAGCTCACGGGTGGGTCCACCGGGGACAGGCCACAGGCCCTCCTAATGTGCTGAGAGCTAACGCTCTCACCATGTCCAACACCCACCCAGAGCCTTCCTTGCAGAACATTTAAGGAATGACATCTCAATATCATAATAAAAATGTGCAAAGGGTCTTTTTTGCAAATATTTAGTTATTTACAGCTAAGATCTTTTTCAGTTAAATAATAAAACATCATCTACATCTATGTATACAGTGTGCGCACAAGATGCAATGGCATTGAAATATACACCAATATCTGGTAAGGCAACTTGACTGGAAGACCAGATTATGCAGACTTTTTATTTATTTATTTATTTATTTTTTACCTAACCCTTCACCCTGGTGTTGGAAGGCCGTGCTCTAACTGAGCTAACCGGCAGCCCCACACATGCTCTTTTAGATGGAACTTTTTGTCTGTGACCTTTGGTTAAAAAAAAAAGTCTCTCTAGGTTTCTTCATTATAACAATTTTGCATTAATTGAAAAGAAAGAGAAAAAAGACGGAGCTTGCCTCAGCTGTCCCAAACTCTGTCCAGACAAACCTGATACAGTGTTCTCCCCTCCCCCAGGTAGGACTTGGTCACCTGCTCTGAGGGGGAACAGCCTGGGCAGGGGCAGACCTTTTTGACCATGAAGTGGTTATTTTAAAACACCCATCCTCCTTGTCTCACTGGAAACGAGAAGCCAGTGGGAGGCTGTGGGCTCCTCAGCGCCTCCTCGTGTGTCCTGCCCACAGGAGATTCGTAAGTGTTTGTTGAATGAATGAATGACATAAAGGAAAGGCAAAATCAGAGACACAGGGCCACAGATCACGTGTGATTTGGCTAAACTGCTGGCCCCAATGCTGGCCCTTGGTTGTGGATTCTGGACCTTTCTAAACGATACCCAAGGTAACCTCTCAGCACAGGTTATCCCAAATGAGATGCACTGCCTGCCTGAGATGCACCCGGCATGAAACGCTCTCAATGCAGCTAATCAGGGAGCAGGAAAGTCCAGGAGACAAAGGGCACAGTCGTTGGTCCGGTCACTGGCTGCGCAGTGGACACACTCCAGTGGGGCCCAGAATGACTCCTGACCCCACCCAGCATGGCTCCCCTGCCCCTTCTCAGAGCTTCTGCTCCTGGGAAAGCTCCAGAAAGCAGGCCAGAGGCACACAGTCCTCACCTGCAGAGCACATCTCTGCCGGGCATGTTTACCCACATTTACTCCACTTTCCAGATGGCGATCTTTCCCTCCTCCCTGCCCGACCCGCTCAGCACGTATCTGTCTTCGGCTGAGCACAGAGCCCTCACGTTGTCGGCGTGCGCCACCAGCTCCTTTTCCACCGTCTTCCTCTCAGCGTCAATCACGTAGATCTTGCCTTTGGGTTTCCCCTGCGATAGCCCTCTGCCGCCCACCCAGATCTGCCAGGGAGAAATGGAGGGGGCGTCAGCCGGGGAAAAGAGACCCCCCCCACAGGTGCTTCGCCCAGTATCCTGGGTTGACTAGTGTACCCCAAAATTCATGTCCTTCCTGGACAGGGCCCCTGCTGTTCAAGAGGCCAGGGCCACCTGGCAGGCCCAGAGATATTCTCAGGCCTTAACACCTACTGAACAATGTGACTATAGTTAGCAGCACCACACTGTGTACTTGAACGTGGTGGGAGGGTAGGTCTCAAGTGGTCTCACCAGCAAAGAGAAAGGTACAGGTGATGGATATGCTAATTACTGGGGGCAGCCCCGGGAAATATCCAGTTTGCAAGAGCTTTAGTCACAGCATGAAACGTGAGCACGTGACAGCCTGGGGGGCCAGCTGGCACCGTTTTCTGCTTATTCCCACTAGGGAGAGAAGGAAACCGAGCAGGGAGGTCAGAAGGCCATGGCAGCGGGGCGGGCTGGCACTGTGGGGAGCCCTGAGGACAAGGCGGGGGTGGGGTGCTCTTGGGGACGGCGTGGGCCTGCGCCCTACCTGCTGCTTCACCCTGATCATGCAGCTGACCTCGGAGCAGCCCTGCAGGGGGATCCTCTCAGGGGGCTGGGACAGGTCCTTCAGGCTCCAGATGTAAACCTCGCTGTATCCTGCACAAGCTGCCCAGAGCTGCTCCTGCTGAATCAGAAACCACCATGAGGCACACGGCTGTGGCCGCCCCTGTGACTGTGCGCATGTCGGGCACACACACCCGCTGCCGGAGTACCTCGGGAAGGATCTGGAAACAGAGGAAGGAGGTGCTCGTCTCTTTCAAGTTCTCGTCGATCTTTAGTTCTTGACGAGGAAAGCCATTCATTGTCACAATCTTGATACTGTCACCTGTACCTGCCGAGCAAAAAAGAGCCAGAGTGAGGAACAGGCTGAGCGAACTCAAGACGTAAAGATATTTTTCCAAAGAAGTTGCAGGAATGGTGACTAGGTGCGCGAGGATGCTCAACACCGTTGGCCATGAGGGAAACGCAAATTAAAGCTACACAATGTCACCTCACTTCCCCAGGATGGTGACAGTTAAAAAAAAACACAAAAAAACCCAAACCAGATAACAACAAGTTTTAATGAGGACCTGGAGAAACTGGAACCCTCATACTGCTGGTGGGTATGTGACGTGGTGCAGCTGCTTTGGAAACAGGCTGGCAGCTCCTCAGTTAAACAGGGTTAACCCAAAGCTCACCCACAGGGGAGGAGATCACCGAATCGCACCGTATTCGTGCAGTGCAACACTGCCCAGCAGTGAAAACGAATGAGCTGCTGAACTCGGAACATCATAGCTGAATCCTAAAAGCATGCAGACCAAATAAAGTCACATGCTGTAGAGTCTGTTCATAGAAAGTTCTGGAAAAAACATAGAAAGTTCACAGTGACAGAGCTGAGAACAACTGTATCCCTTTGTGGGGGGGGCATTGCCTGGAAAGGGGCTCAGAGGAACTTTGAGCCGTGACAGAAATGCTGTGTATCTTGATTTGCTTGCTGGTTATGGAGTGTGTATGTTTGTCAAAACACAACAGATTGCACACTTGTTTGATGCATTTTACCATATGTAAAATATGCTTCAATTTAAAGTTGTGTTCACAACATCACACTTGTTATTTGGTGCACACCAGGGAAAACATCGAAGCACAGGTAACCATCATGCTCTGGGATGTTCAGAAATGCAGAATGTACACCCCAGGCAAAGCGCTGCACCTCCTGTCACACCCTGCCAGGCCCCAGGTGTGCTGGGGATGGCATAGGTGACCCATAGCATGGCCTCACCAAGCCTGCCCTGGATGGAGAGACATGCGAGGCACACAGATGATGGGACTGCAGAGAGCTCCCAGGAGGAGCAGCCAGGCCTTGGGGGTTCCCAGGCTGGGCCCACCCCCACAGCAGGGTGTGGCAAGTGTGGCGGGGAGGGGGCAGGAGAGTGGCCGGCACATGGAGGGGTGGCAGGTGCCCCGCCAGCCGCAGAGAAGAGGGCTGAAGGGAGGTGGGGAGCCCTGGAGGTGGCACACTCAGGCGGAGGAAGGTGGCTGGGGAGCGCAGAAGAGGAACCAGAGTTTAAAATAACAACTGGCCCTGCCTAAGGCACAAGAAAACAGGCTTTCGCGCTCACTCAGCGTCCTTTTCCAGGGCAGGGAGTTAGGGTACCCGTTTTGGGGGATGGAGAGCCGAGGACTTACAGCACCACAGGCGACCGCTGTGCAGCCTGATGGAGGTGAGGCCACCGCACGGCAGCTGGAAGCGGCTGGTCACCCGCAGCGTGCTCACGTTCCACGCCAGGACCGTCCCGTCCACGCTGCACGAGTACACCTCGCTGGAGGTGTCAAAACACACACGCGCACAGTCAGCAAGCGCCGTGCACGTTCTAACCCAGGGAAGAACAAAGTTAGCCCAGATACCATATCCACGACGTGGACAACGACAACGTGCAACACACCCTGAGTGTGGTGAGAACAAGGCCGGGTTCAAATGTAACCGATCCCGCGAGAAGGCGGGTTCTCGGGATGCGCAGCACTTCCCACCCCGCCCTGCAGCAGACCCGACCCCACGAGGTGCTGGTGAAGAGAAGCACAGCGTGACCACGACTGCAATCTAACCCCATCATCAAAGGCACGTCCAGTTCACACGCACGCACTCTCTGGCATTCAAGTTCATCATCAGTACCAGCCACGGGTGAATGGTGGCTGCTGGGGGCGCCAGGTGGATTCCAGCCAGTACCACATGTAATCCCTCCCCTTCTGAGCTGGTTCCGCTTTCAGGTTAGCACCATATATCCCACCCGAACGGGGCTGGCGAGGACACGGGGGGCCCCTGGAGCTAAGTTAGGGTGAAAGGGGGTGGAGAACAGCGGCCACCCACGTCCAGGGCTGGGGCCGCCCGTACAAAGACCTCGGACATGCCTCACACGCCTCCTCCACAGCAGGAAGTGCAGACCCCACCTCGTCCTCATCCCCGGGCACCTGCTGTGTGTCAGGCCTTGTTCTAACCATGGGACATGCAGCGGAGAGCAGAACAGGCACGGGCACCCACCCTCGGGCCCTGGCATGCTTAATGCAGGTGCAGACCATGAAGCAGGTTAGTTAAGTGTTATGGGTTAAACTGTGTCCCTGAAAAAGTTATGTTGGTGTCCTAGCTCCCCGTACCTCAGAATGTGACCTGATTTGGACATAGGGTCTTTCCAGAGGTATCCAAGTTACAATGAGGTCACTGGGGTGAGACCTAGTCCACTGTGACTGTTGTCCTTAGAAACAGGGTAAATGTGGACACAGAGACAGATGTGCAGAGGGAGAACGCCGTGAGAGGCAGGGGACTGGAACGATGCTTCTATAAGCCAATGCCAAGGGCCACCGGGAGCCTCGAGAAGCTGGAAGCAGCAGGAACGTCCCCGCTAGAGGTTCAGAGGGCACGCGGCCCCATAACACCTTGATTTCGGACCTCTGGCCTCCAGAGCTGTGTAAATTTGTTCTAAGTCATTTAGTTTGTGGTGCTCTGTTACAGTAGCCCAAGGAAACTAAAGCAGAAGTAAAATATACAGTTCGTTAGAAAATGGTAAACGGTCAAGTGAAGCGACAGGCCAGGCAGGAAATGGAGGTTTCTCTGTGGGGAGTTTGGATGGGGCCAGAGAAGCGACCAAGCACGGACACATACGGGACCAGCCCTGGCCTGCAGGTTACAACCTGGCTCCCTCTCTGGAGGCTCCCCATGGGCCCAGGATATTCTTAGGGTTTTGTGGTTCAAATCCCATCTTCCAGGAAGATTGGTCCCGGGTAGGACAGGGCTGGGGGTGGGACACGGACGAGCACTGGCCGTCTGCTGGGAGTTCCTCTCGCCTCTGGTGGAGTCGGGAGCCGCCTGTCCTGAAGTTCTGGGCAGGGACGGCAGGGCTGAGCTGGCGAGCCCAGCTTGGGGCTTTCACAGGGAAAGACACACTGGCTGGGTCTATACATGAGGGTCCTTGGGACAGAAAACCAGCACCTTCAGGAAACGTCTGAAGAAACACAGCTGCCACACAGCTTTCTCAAGCTGGCCCGGACACACTGTCTAGGAGGAAGTGTCCCAGCCCCGGTCAGAGACTGTAGACTGCTGCCTGCAGGTGACTTTTTGGGGGGTGGGGTATAGTA